GCCACCTGGGGCCCCCGGCTGGATTTCCCGAGGCAGGACTGTGTGGGGAGCGAGGGTGGTCTCCTGGGCGGTGGCCCCATGGACCTCTCTGCTCGGCCGGCAGGATCGCCCTGAGGAGGATGCCCTCCATCCGCCAGACGCTGCAGGAGATGGGCGTGAAGGTGTCGGACGTCTTCCCCGAGCTGCAGCAGAGCAAACGCCACGGCGCGGCTGGCCCTCGAAACGGGACGGCTCCCACCATCCTCACTAACTACCTGGATGTGAGTCTCCTCCGAACGAGCGGCTTGTTCACCTGATGCGAGCCCCGGTACCCCTTGCGACCCTGGTGGAGGGCAGGGCGATGTGTCTGTGCCCACCTCCGTTCCTCCTTGGCAGCTCCCGATTTCGGTGCCTCACCCCCCCGAGCTCAGGGATGCTCTGGCGCCTGGCGCTGCCTGTTCACCACGCGCCGTCCCTGCGGCTGAGCCTGGCAGCAGAGCGGCACTTGCATCCCGCAGCCCCTTGGTCTGTGCAACCCGCCCAGCCTGACCCCAGCGCTGCCGTGGCTGGAAGGGAGGGATGTTCCCCAGCTCCGAAATCCTGAACGCCACCTCATTGGGGGGGTGGGGAGGAGGTATGAGCCCTCTCTGCTGCATGAGCCGTGATGCTCCCCGTGCTGTGCCTCCTGCAGACCCAGTACTTCGGGGAGATCAGCATCGGCACCCCAGCGCAGACCTTCAAGGTGGTCTTTGACACGGGCTCGGCTAACCTGTGGGTGCCGTCGCACAAGTGCTCACCCCTGTACAGTGCCTGCGGTGAGTGCCGGGCCGCGCCGCGAGCACCCTCGGGCCCCGGGAATGGGGTTGGGGGGAGAAACGCCATCCAGCCTCAGCCCTGCAGGGCCCTCCATCTCCGTAGGGTGCTCAGAGCGGGCTGGCACTGTTAAGGTTCCCGCAGCTGGGTCTCTCTCTGCTGCTGCGGAGCCTCCTCATGCTGGGACACTCGTCCCCCAGAGGCTGGGGGAGCAGCCCTGCCCCGGCCACCTTCCTCGCCTCCACTTTGATGCACGTTCCCCTTCCTCAGTTTCTCACAGCCGCTACGACTCTTCTAAATCACGCACCTACATTGCGAACGGCACGGGGTTCGCTATCCGCTACGGGACGGGGAGCGTCAAAGGTTTCCTCAGCCAGGACATCGTCATGGTGAGTGCCTGCCCTGAATTGCAGACCCCTGAATTGCCTCCGCGGGTAAGGAGTGATACCCGCGCACACAGCTCTTCTCCCTGCTACAAGCACACTAGTTACTAAAAGTAGGGGACTCGGGCAGGGGGGATTTGCCCCCTAAGCTCCCTGCAAAGGTGCTCGTGCTCTTCCCCTCCCCAGGTATCAGATATCCCCATCATCCAGGTCTTCGCAGAGGCCACGGCGCTGCCTGCCTTCCCCTTCATCTTCGCCAGGTTTGACGGGGTGCTGGGCATGGGCTACCCGAGCCAGGCCATCGACGGCATCACCCCCGTCTTCGACCGGATCCTCTCCCAGCAGATCCTCAAGGAGGACGTATTTTCCGTCTACTACAGCCGGTGGGTCTCGCAGGGAGCAGGCGCCTGGACTGGGGAGGGCATTTCTCTCGCAGAGCGCGGGTATTGCAAACACCAGTGCTGAGTTTGCATCTCGGGACTGGGAAAGAGCTGCAGCTAGGGTTGCAAGGGCCAGCGGGACCTGAGCTGGGGTGGGGGCACGGGCACCACGCGTGGCGGATGCCTGGAGGAGCTGGGGTGGCAGGAGGCAGCACAAGAGGAGAAGCTGAGCA